GCCATCCTTGTCTGCAGAGGAAGTCCCAGGTCACCCAGGGTAATAAAAAAGCAAGATTCTTTCTCTAAACAAAAAAGAGTGAGTGTGTTTGAGAACCAGACCTTTTGGAGTGTGAATCTCTGCTTTGCAGCTTACCAACCATGTGGCTGTGGACAAGTTATAGCCCTCTCTGTTCTTGCCGTTGTTCTAGACTGTTTTGAGGGTAGTGAGTGTCACTATGTGCAAGACATTCTCAGTCTTATGTTTGGTGCATACTGTGCCCAGTGAGTGTGTGTGTATGAGCTGGCTGTCTGACTGCATGAAGGACGACCTTCCAGGCAGCACCCAGGAATGTGAAAGAAAAAGAGTTCCAAAAGTGGGGACTCGGTATTGATTGTTCCTCTCACTCTTGAAGAGTTCAGATTATGACCCTTGGTAGCAGGGTTATAGATAACTTTTCAACAGAAAAGAATGCTGGTTAGAATTGCATTAAAGGAGAAGGGTGTAGGAGTGACAGTCTAGGCCTAGGCATGTGATGGCACCTGGTCCAGAGCTGGCCCTGTCGTGAGAGACTTGGTAGCTTCTGGCCTGTGCAGGTGAGGAGACAGCTGATGTGGCAACAGGAAGGCAATGCACCGTAGCTGCAATGCTGTCTGTAGCTCTACTGAGCACCTACAGAATGGTTCCAAGGGACAGGAGAGCAGGGCCCCTCTGGGACCATGAAGGCAGCCGTCCTGCCAGGGATTGTAGGTCACCACTGAAGATGAAAAGGTGGTGGGCAGGGGCAGGCACCTAGCAACTGCCTGGAGCACAACCTTTGTGCCTGCCCCTGCCCACCACCTTTTCATTTCCTTTGGCCCAAGTTGCAGTCAGACCCCAATGATCATCACAGCCTTCACCTGGCATGAGACAATTGACTGGTTGAGAAGTCACACTGCTGTGAAACAGGCAGGCTCAACCTGATCTGATACATGTAGACATGAACTTGCTCATTTTGACCCATAGGTGAATATGTTTAAGTTAGGAGATATGGCCAGCAGGCCCAGGCCGTTGCCCAGATCAAGTCACTATAAATGGAGGAGTGTTGCATTTGTGCCAGACAAGAGACCAAGGGCCCTCTGGGCAGAACATACCTGCCTTGGCCCAACACAGGACAAGCTGCTGACCACAGGACTGCTATCCCTAAGCAAAATTAGCAAGTCCTTAATGACAGCAGAGACCTGCAGGAACTGGGAGACAAGAGCCATTGCCCAGCAGCCCTTGAAAGTCACTGCCAGCACCTAGGAGGTGGAGGAGTCAATTATTGTGCTCTAGGAAGCTAGTAACCTTGTTAGGGTTACTAACTTAAAATACCTTCTTAAAATACCAAGTTATGCTGGGCACAGCCAGTGCTTGAAAGGCAGAGGCAGGTGGATTTCTGTGTGAGTTCGAGGCCAGCCTGGTCTACACAGCTAGTTCTAGGACAGCCAAGGCTACACAGAGAAACCCTATCTTGAAAAAAAAAATTTTTTTTTAAATAGCAAGTTGCTTTCATGGTCAAAAGCAAAACATAATGCCACTGTTCTCAGATTCTGCACTTACAGGACACTTCTCCTCAGGGCACGTCAGAAGGAAGTCCAGGATTCTGTAGCTGCTCAGTCCCCAAGGGACCTGAATTGAGGAGCAGTGGTCTGCACACATCCACCAGGCCAGCATCATCCCCACCTGTGATTCCCAGCTTTCCATCCCCAGCCACTGGCCTTCCCACATGGCTATGTCTCTTCTGAAACTTCATCTCTCTCCCCAGGAGAAGATGCTCAGTTACCAGGGTGTGCCAGTGGCCAGCAGCAGCAACAGCAAGAGGACTGCTGAGAGGCCTTGGAAGGGTTGGGGTTGGGGAAGGCAGAGTGCACAACCCTAAGCAGGTCAGGAGGATGCTTTGCCATGTCCTGACCCCAGGAAGAGCCAGGCCCCAAAGCAGGCCTGACAAGTTTGTTGCAAAAGACCAGCCACCCTTCATCATAGGATGGCTAGCGTTTTGTTTTGTTCTGAGGTTTTTGGGGTTTGGGTTTTGGTTTTGTTGTATTGAGATAGGATCTGACTATGTAGCTCTGGATGGCCTTGCTCTGTTGACCAAGCTTCCCTCCAACTCACAGAGATCAGCTGCCTCTGATCTCCGAGGTTAAAGGTGAGCACCACTGTGGCCAGCCTGAGTGGCTGTTTTAAGGGGCTGACTCCTCTGTCTTGGTTTCCTCACTAGTGAGATGAGGTAGTAGTATACGACTCATGGGGTGACAATTAAATCTTGTGTTTTATATAACTAGCTAATTACACTGGTGATTGTGTAACATAAAGCTCAAGAGGTTAAAGTGTTACAGAAGTGTTTTGTAGTCAAAGACTAGGGAACCCTGGAAGGCTGTGAGACGCAGGAAGGACATGGTCATTTTCATGGGAGGGGTAGACATGGGGAGGGAGAGAGAAGAGAATGGGCACAATGCAGACTTGGGAAGTATGATTGGCAGGACACTGTGACTATTAGACATAGGTCTGAGGTCAAGGATGACTCAATGCCTGCTGGTCATCTGGCTGAGTATAGTCTGTGGAAGAGGAGCAAGTTTTCATGTTTAAGCAGCTCCTGCTCCCAGGCCCTCTGTAGCAAGTCATAACCTGCTCAAGGGGACACTTGGCCTCAAGATGAGAAGTGGAGCACAAAAGCCACACTCAGTAGATATTTATGGAAAGAATAGGCCTTGTCTTCCAGCCCTCTAAAGGGAAATCTTCCTGGCCTCCTCCCCTGGCCATAAGCCAGTGGCAAAGCAACTGCCCTTCTATCTCAGCCTCCTGTCATATGTTTGGGCCACACAAGCATCTGTCTGTCTGCAGGAACCAAGGATAGAACTGAAGGCTGCCTGCCCAGCCCAGCAGGGGCATTGCTGATGGTTGGAAAAGGCAAGAGTCCCATTCAGTCACGTGGAGATCATGCTCTTCCTCTCCTAGTCCTGTTGAGACTGGAGCCTGTTCTGGATACCATGGGTCGAGAACTGTACTTTTTTGTCCACCAGGCATCTCAGTGCCTGGAATGAGTCTGGCTTACAAATGACTACACAATGGTAAGCTGTCAGCACCACCCAGCAATAAAGACTGTGTTCCTTGTGAGACAAATTACACCACCAGCCAAACTGGCTGATCAGCAGGTGTGTGAGTGCACCACATCTACAGCCAGAGTCTGAAAGCCAGAGGAGATAGCATGACAGCTAAGGAGGAGGGGAATTTGGACAAACACCAAGGTCCCACCCTCTGAATATTGAATGTTAGCCTGTCACACAGATTACATGTGGAAAAATACATCTGCTATGACAGGAGATGGAACAAAGTGTGTGTATTCTGTGTGAATAATAGACATGGTAGTGTGTGTGCATGGAGGGTTCGTGAAGGTCCTCACATTTTATCTATTCCTGGATTGTCATTCACTTAACACCCACCAATGCCTAGTTGGGTTTGGACTTGCTGTGTAGCACCAGGCTGACCTTGAACACTCAGTCCCTCTGCCTTCCTCCTAAGTCCTGGGATTATACATGCATGCCACCATGTTCACCTACCTATTACAAGCCTTGAGAACTTTGTAGCTGGTTCCTAGCTAAGAGATCTTACCCTAAGGATCACCCTAGCATGAAAATACCATGAGAGGTGGAAGTGGTTACACAGCATTGTGACTGTACCACTGATTACACAATTGAAGATATTATTTTATATGGTATGACTTCGTATCAATTTAAAAGGAAGAATTGGATTAGGAATGTAACTCAGTGATAGAGCACTTGCCTGCCATCCATGAGGGGTGTTGTTTGTTTTTAGTCTTTTCTGGGTTGTTTTTTTTTTTTTTTTTTTTTTACTCTTTTACTCTTAGTGTGTGTGGGGGCTACCCAACTCCCAAATAAATCACTCACGGAGGCATATTATTACTTAGAATGCCCAGCCTTAGCTTGGCTTAGTTGCTAGCCAGCTTTTCTTAACGTATCCCGACTACCTTTTGCCTCTGGGCTTTTCCCCTTCCATTCCTGAATACCTTTCTTTGTTTGGTTGTGTGTGCAGCTGGGTGGCTGGCCCCTGGAGTCCTCCTCCTTCTCTGGCTACTTCTTTCTCTCCCGGATTTCTCCTTCTGTTTATCCTCTCTCCTGTCTTGCTATTGGCTAGTTCTTTATTAGTCCATCAGGTGTTTTACACAGGCACAGTAACACAGCTTCACAGAGTTAAACAAATGCAACATAAACAAAAGTAACATACCTTAAAATAATATTCTGCTGCACATGAGACCCTGCATTCAGACTCCAGAAGGAAAAGAATAATCCTCAGCCAGCAGTCACTGCACAGCCATTCTGAGAAAGTGCCATTTGGACATTGCCTGCCCTTGAATCTGTTCTTTCATTGACCCAATCTACAGAGAGAAACTGCCTCAAGGTGGCATGGAAAGAATGCCCCAGGAGAGAGCAGAAGAAACTGTCACATAGCTTTCATGTGGTAAAAATACATACATTTGCTATGCCAGCTCAGGCATGACAGGAGGTAAAACAGAATGTGAGTGTCATGTGGGGGCCTGTAAGAAATGAGACCTAGGGCAAGGACAGAGGTAGTTGCTCCCCATTGAATACTTCTTTGGAACATTTTACATTTTAAACCACATGACTACTTCCAACTCAAAGGATAATATGAAGTGAAGAAGAGCATATTACCTATACAAATAAAGCAATACATGATCTCTGCTAGCCTGTTACAAACAAGCCCTCTGAGGCCAGGCCTGCCTCAGTTCTTGGCCCCTTTATCCACTTATGACTCCCTGAGCCACAGTTTTCTGATCCATGAACAAGGAAAGACACTTCTGGCCTCACATGGCTGGTACAATCCAATGACAAGTAGGACAGCATATAAACCTGGGTGCCCAGAAAGCAGACATGATCTTCTGTCTTATCTGTTCCCTTCTCCACTATTTTGGGTCTGCCCATATAGGACTCCCCATACCTTTGTGACTCACAGTTTCTTCACAGAGAAAGCTACAGATGGCTCCCTGCAGAGCGAGGACTGGGCCCTCAACATGGAGATCTGTGACATCATCAACGAGACCGAGGAAGGGTAAGGGCCCTGAGGGGGAGGGGTACGGGAGGTGGTACAGGCTGTGACAGCCAACTATAACAGTACACACCAGCACTGATTCATACCTATGTCCCACCAGATGATCTTCCCTAGCCCTCCACTGTTGTGGTCACAAAGTCTAACCCTGCTGTGCAGTATCCTGCTCCCATGCTAAACAACAGCATGGCATTTTCAACATCTTTAGACCATAATCCAGTCCACTGCCTCCATCAGGTGGATGAAAAGCTCAGAAATGTGAAGTTCAAAGACACAGTGTGAGCCAGGTAGTGGTGACCCACGATTTTAATCCCAGCACTTGGAAGGCAGAGGCAGACAAATCTCTTGAGTTCAAGGCCAGCCAGGTCAACAGAACGAATTCCAGGATGACCAGGGCCACATAGAGAAACCTTGTCTCGAAAAAACAAAAAAAACAAAGGTACAGTGTGTGGCTAACTGGCCCCTAGGTGCTGTGATACACACAGTGTCTTTGAACAGCAGCCCAGATGGCACACAGATCTTGAGCTCCTGCCTTGGTGCATCACCTCCCTGGAAAAAACAAAGCCAGCTGAAGATTCACAGTGCCTTTCTGCATGCTGAGAGCTGGAGTCCTAGGACAGCCAGATTTTCTCAAAGAGCAAGAACATACTTTCTCTTCCCTAAGATTAGCAACCAGCAGGGCCACCAGGGAGTTCACAGAGGGCAGTCAGTGAAGCAGGGCAGAGCTGTAGATCAGAGTGGGTGCCTTCAGGCAACCAGGTATGGGGCCCTGGCGTTTGCTCAGAATGCTGAGCCCAGTTAAAGCACATGGTATGAGAGAGGTATTGGAGTCCTGTCTTCCTCTGCCTAATGCATGCAGGCCAACTGTGTGATGGGACCATGGACAAGTTGCATTACCTCGCCAGGACTTTTTCCTCAAAGGCAGAGCTCTGTTAAACCCTGCCAAAACTCTAGCCTAAGTCCTTGAGTGGAGCAGAAAGTAGGGTGAGGTGCAGGGTGGCTAGTCATGGCAGGCAGGGAGTGCAGCCAGATGAGGACATCCTCCCAGTCAAGTGCAGACTGAAGCAAAGGGGCAGGAGGCAGGGAGTGCAGGGAGAACTGCGGGGAGACCTCAGTTGTGCTGTGTGACTTACTCACACATCTGCATCTAGATTCGTAGAGAGGGTGGGATGCAACTGGACAGATGTCAGCACCACCAGGAAAGAAGACAGGCATACATGCTTACTGAGCCTCTGGAAAGGCCTGGCAGCTTTATGGATGGTGTGCCGTAAGTCACTGCAATATTTTTGCAGACAATGTTCCTGTCTCCATGGTGAACTTGGGAAGCACTGTGTTCAGAGTTTATTGGCTGTGTAGCTGTTCATTTGAGCACTTCAAATGTTCCAGACACTGCACAAGCATCGAGGAGCCAGCAGTTGGCAATGACAGGCATGACTCTTAGCCTCACCAATCTTACCTAAACTTTTATGTCTTTGGTGGATTCATACCATTGCCATATACTTTATCTGTGTCATTGTGCACTGGTCCACTACCAGTGCTGTTCCCTTTTCTCCAGGCCACTCCATAAGTAGGAATAAGTAACTTTCAAGCCCTGAAATGGTCCACAGGTCAGCAATTGTGTCAGTCAGCTTTTCATAACTATAACAATGTTCTTGAGATGATTCGCTTATAAAGAGAAAATGTTTATCTCAGTCTTGATTTGGTTTGGTTTTTGTTTGTTTGTTTTTGAGACAGAATCTCACTGGCCTCAAATTCACTGTGGAGCTGAAGCAGAAGTTTTTATTTTGCCTCACAGTCTTGATGTTGCACATGAGAAGTGTGTGATGAACTACAACCACACACCTCAGGGCCAAGGAACAAAAGAAGAGTGACAGGGACCAGGGTTCCATGGTGTCCTTTAAAGTCACATCTCTGATGACAAAAAGACCACTCAGCAGGTTCTAGCTCCCCCACCCCCCATTTATCTACCACACTTGGGATGGAACCCAGGGCCTTGCACATGACTTGCACATACTAGACAAGCACTGCCCCCAGCCTAGGCCCCACCTCAAAGTTTCTGTAGTGTCTCAGCAGTGCTGCTGTGAGGATGAAAGCATTTTTTAAACATGTGGGTCTTTGGGGGACACTCAGGATCCAAACAATATAGCAGTGCTGACATCAAGGACAGAAGCCAGCTGCCCCTGGAACTGGCCTGGGAAAGTTAGGGAGCTGTCCGAGGTTCTGAGTACAGGTTGTTCTCACCCTTCTGGACAGGCTCCTATACCTGCCCTGACCTCTCCACTGTAGCACTGACCACCTGCACAGCTTTGCCTCCATGTGGGATCCCATCCTGGAGGCCTCTGCCTTTACTTCTGCTAGGGATCTTACCCAGGATTCCAAACTGCCCCAATGTGGCCCTTAAAGGTCAACACTGACAGACAAGCAGAGTCAGAATAAACTTCAAAGCCTCTCTGCCTGGGCACCTGCAGTGGGCTCACTCTGCTGAAAGTCAGTGTTTAAAGGATACTGTCGGCTTGCTCTCTAGGAGCTGTCTTCTCTGCGTGGATAGGTTAGTGTTTCCAGACAGGACGCACTGGAGGGGAAAGCCCCTTGGAAGGTTCACGGATCACTAGGCCTTCCCTTGGGTTTGGAGCACAGGCAGGGTCCAACAAAAGCCTTCAGGGCAGAGCAGCTCTGGCAGTGCTAGGAAAAGGGTAGTCAGCAGGTGGGACAGGGAGGATAGGTGACCCCAGGCTCTCTGTGGCCACCTGCTGTATGTAGGCACAGCCAGGCTCCTGGCCCTCCATCTCCTCTACACTGTTGTCTCCTCTCTGTCCTTCCAAAGCAGCTTCTCCCCACCAAGCTCTCCCTGCACCTGAACCCACTCTCTCTGGCTGTCCTCCAACTTGTCCTCCCCATCCTTTATGGTTGGCTACCTCCTTGAGTATCTTTTAGACCTACTCCATTCTCCCTCAAGACTACTTCTTCCTTCAGTTATCCCAGAATCCTTAGAAGTAGTATATGTGTACACATGTACACATACACACATATACACGTACACACAGGTGCTTGGTTAGACTTGACTGGAAGATGGATAGTGGAACTGTCTAAAATGTGGCATTAGAACACTCTGCCTGTAGTCCACTTGTTCTTAGCATCAATACCTAGAAGGCCCTGGGAGCTGTGGGGTACATGAGAAATAGCAAATTCTGGGACTGCCCTACTTGTTGGATTCTGATACTGTCAACTAAGGAAGGCCTGGGATTCTGTATTTTTGACAAGCACTCACACCTTGCCCAACATGAGTCTGTGATGGGAGGCCCAGGGTCTACCTAGTGCTTGGACTGAGAAGGCCGTGGTGGCAGCAGTATCCTGGTGTGATCAGAACCTGGCACAGGGAGGAGGGAAGATCCTACCCAGCCTTCCAGCTTTGCAGAGCCTCCTGAGGTTGGGCCCTTAGCCTTCTGTGTTAGGGAAGAGGGTTCTATGCCTGAGCCCATCATTCTTTTTGTCCTTTTTACCAGCCCCAAAGATGCGTTCCGAGCAGTAAAGAAGCGAATTGTGGGGAATAAGAATTTCCATGAGGTCATGTTGGCCCTCACGGTGAGTCTGTCTATCCATCCCTCCATGATCGCTCCCATGGCTAGACCATGGTCTGCTGAAAGTTGCTTCTCCTTAGTTAGGTCCAGTGGGACTCCCATCCATGCTTGAATTTCTCCTCTGAGGACTAGGAAGAAAAAAGCACCATGGGGAAATTGTTTTCCCATCCATGCTGCTGGTGGAGGTAGATGACAAAGCAAGGGAGCTGGAAAGGAGTTCCTAACCTTAGTTAGGGGAGTAGACATACTGGGGCCACTTCCCTCTAAAACTGCACTCTGAAAAATGAACATAAAGCAAATGCCAGTATCTAAGAACAGCATTGGCCACAGCACTGAGCCAGGCCAACATGGGCCAAGCACCAGGCATCCATCCTGTCTTTAGGACAGCCTGGCTGGGTAGTAGGTGGGAGAACACCCTGTCCATGCCTCTACCATGTGGTGCTTAGATCCAGATGGTCCTGCTTCCCTGCAAAGCACAGGCAGCTCCTGCTAGGTCATGGGGAGAGAAGGTTGGTGCTTGGTCCTTGAGTCATAATGTTACCTACCAATAGGAGAAGCTCAAGTTGTCTCCAATTCCTCCTAGAGGACATCTGACACTCTAGGCCAGTGTTTCTCAACCTGTGACTCATGGCTCCTTGGGAGTCTAATGAACCTTTCACAGGGGTCACATATCAGATATCCCGTGTATCAGATATTTACATTACAATTCATAAAACAGCAAAATTACAGTTATGGAGTAGCAACGAAAATAATTTTTATAGTTGAGAGTCACCACAACATGAGGAATTGTATTAAATGTTGTGGCAGCATTAGGAAATTGAAAACCACTGCTCTAGATCATGTGATCTAAAAAGTAGGGTTATGTTATGACAGGCCCTGGTTTAGTAGGAAGGGAGTCCTGTCTGTCACATCATTCTGTATGTCCCAGTCCAAGAAGAGGCAAGCCCCCAGATCTAGCACTGCTCCCATCCCCATGTCCTAGAAGATCCCTTCTGGAAGCCTCCTCTCCTCTGCTCGACTTCCCTCTGGGATAGAAGAGGAGCCTCACTGGAGTGGCAGCCCATTTCCTCTCCTCTGATAGAGTACTCTCTTGGCACCTTGACCTACAGGTCTTGGAAACATGTGTTAAGAACTGCGGGCACCGCTTCCATGTACTGGTGGCCAGCCAGGACTTTGTAGAGAGTGTGCTGGTGAGGACCATCCTGCCAAAGAACAATCCACCCACCATCGTGCATGACAAGGTGTTGAACCTCATCCAGGTGCGCTCTTCTCTTTGACAAGGTGGGGTGGCTTCGTGACCTCAAGGGGTTGGGGAGTGCCAGGGCTGTTGTTCCTCTATCTGCTAGTAGACTGCTTCTGTGTGCAGCAGGACTTATCACTGTCTACTGATCCTGGTGCAGAAGGAAGAGGAGGGAAGCACTTTGGTCCTCTGCCTAGGTGCCAGGGTGGGGAAGGCTCACAGAAAAGGTGAGCAGTGGTTACCGGCCATGTCCCCTTGTCCCCTCTCAGTCCTGGGCTGACGCGTTCCGCAGCTCGCCTGATTTGACAGGTGTCGTTGCTGTCTACGAGGACTTGCGAAGGAAGGGCCTGGAGTTCCCCATGACTGACCTGGACATGCTGTCACCCATCCACACACCCCAGAGGGTGAGGAGAACTTTGAGTGGGGCAGAAGTTATCCTGAGGGGCCTATAGTGTCCTTCCAGACTTACCCTGTCTTTTGTCCCCTAGACTGTGTTTAACTCAGAGACACCATCTGGACAGAACTCTGTGGGCTCTGACACCAGTCAGCGAGGAGACCTGAGCCAGCATACCACCCCTCTGCCCACTCCAGCTGTTCTCCCCGGTGACTCACCCATCATGCCAACTCCTGAGCAGGTACACAGACAAGGTCCAGGGAGGCAGTGGATATCACCATCACGCCAACTCCTGAGCAGGTACACAGACAAGGTCCAGGGAGGCAGTGGATATCACCATCACGCCAACTCCTGAGCAGGTACACAGACAAGGTCCAGGGAGGCAGTGGATATGGCCCTTAGCACCAGAAATTCCTTTGTCCTCCCAGAAGCCTACAGATGTATACTATTCTTCCTGTGTTCAGGATAAGATTTAGATAAATCCATTCACCCAGGGGCTGGAGAAATGGCTCAGAGGTTAAGAGCACCAACTGCTCTTCCAGAGGTCCTGAGTTCAATTCCCAGCACCCACATGGTGGCTCACAACCATCTGTAATGAGATCTGGTGCCCTCTTCTGTGTATATAATAAATAAATAAATCTTTAATAAATAAATAAATAAATAAATAAAATAAAAAATCCCCTCAAAATCACACGGCTCATCGGAATCAGCCGAGATTCCAGTTCCAATCTGTCTATACTGGAATGCAGTCCAGTACCTCTGTCATTTCCCAAACTCTTCCTTCCATGGAGACCTCTGTGCAGCACCACGGAGAGGAAATGGCCAGCAGGCAAGCAGTCCCTTTCACTTGGGCCACTCCACTTGTAATAGGCTCACATAGAATTTCATCTGAATTGAGATTCTGGTTGAGGACACCTTAAAGGATCTATATGCTTGCTGGGGTTGGTGACACACCTTCAATCCCAGCACTTGGGAGATAGAGGTAGATGGATCTGTGTGAGTTCAGAGCTTCATAGTAAAACCCTGTCTCAGAAAGAGAAGGTGGGAGAGTAGAAGGAAGAGAGGAAGGGAGGGAGAGAGGGAAGGAGTAAGAGAGAGAAAGAGAGAGAAGAAGAGAGGAGAGGAGAGAGAGAGATGCACAAAATGAGAAAGTACATGTGTACTACACTGAGGCCTCCCACATGCCTCACAAAGAAGCTTGGAGGCCTAGCATAAGATTCTGGGGAGGTTTCCCTAGCCTGGGTCTAGCTCTAGAGAGTTACCTGCCCCAGACCAGGTGGCTATAATCTAGATCATTGGTCACTTGAGATGTGGTACTGGGCTGACTTGAGGCCTTCACAGACCTTAGACCATCATCAGTGAAGCATACTTCACTTAGCTGCTGAGTGTGCTGGAGGTAAAGATTCACAAACATGAGGCACATGAGAGAAGCTTCATTCCAAAGAAGTATCTCCTGACCACTTGTATGCAGTGCACAGTCTCAGTCCCACAAAGAGAAACGTCCATGAGATCTTATAGCAGTTATGAAACCAAGCACCACAGCAAACATGACTAGAGAAGGTTGGCATGCTACGCAAGTAATTAAAGCCCACAAAACTGTAAAACTACCCTCCTATCCAAAGCAATTATCTGCCTTGCTTCTGGTTTTAACTAGTTTTCCTAATGTCTGTGTATTAAGACTGATTGATTACTTTAGTGCTCTGAGAAGGTTCTTGCTAAACAAAACTGAGTATTTTTGTTTGATTTCATAGCCCCTTTTCCCTCTTGGGGCATGTTAAGATGTTGTAGTGTAGTGATGTAACTCCTAGGCTCCTTTGTGGTTAGGTCCCTTTGGGTTTGGATGTGGCAAATTGGTGATGAATAGCTTGTCCACTCACACCGAGAAAGTTATTAAACAAGTCATCCTGCCTGGCACTGTGGGGTGTGCTGTTGGTCAACTTCAGTGGATATAGTACTTATCTCTGCATGCCTGTTTCTTCATCCTCAAGCTCTTTAAAGGTGGCTGAGCCTACTTGTGATGGTATGTGTTCAGTGCTTGGCACTTATTAACTAGTCAGTAAATGGTAGCTGCTGTCATAATCATGAAGTTAATTGTCACTCAGTCACACAATTTAGAATATACCAGTATTTCCCAAAATGTACTCTTCTAGCCACTAGACTCATGAGCTATCCCATTATCAGGGAGTCTTGATCCAGATACATTTGGGGGAGCCTTCATATGATTCTCAGCATTCAAAGTGGACACAGTGTCATGAACCTATAAAGTCCCTTGGGGTTCACAAAAGATACTACACAGTGCTCCTCACAACTTAATCTGTTTGAGGACACTGACCACCTTTATTGTTATGTGTCCCCAGGCCTGGAACCTTGACTACTGGTACAAGTACTGGATCTGAGTTTCATGTTCAAGTGGATAGCAGGCCTGGAACATTTTTTTTGGATGAGCCTGGGCCCAAACATGGACCAGAGACAAGAAATAACCCCAGTTCTCATAATGGAAGGGAAGACATAGAGCCCACTCTGTCTTCCCAGACATAAGGGGCCTACAACTTTCCCACTCCCTTGGGAGAACTGCCACTCCCTAGAGCCTCATTAATTGCCATCTTGGCCCCAAGAGATGCTGGCGCTCTTCCAACCACACTCACTGGCTTATTCCTCTCCGATTGTCACACTTCTTCCAACCTCCTCCCTGCATCCGGCTCCTGGTTTGGAGATGGCAGCGGTTGGTAGCACCTCTGTGAGGGGGCTGTGTGGTGGGATGCACCCTCTGCAGGCTCTTGAGTACAGACCGTCCCCAGAAGTCAGGAGAGAAACTGCGGAGGAAGTGTTGGTGGGGCAGTTCTTAGGCCACACGTCTGTTGGAGCAGCACGGGCTCCAGATTCTGGCTTCCCTCCCCTTATTATGCTGCATTTCAGATTGGGAAGCTGCGTAGTGAGCTGGAGATGGTGAGTGGCAATGTGCGAGTGATGTCGGAGATGCTGACAGAGTTGGTACCCACCCAGATAGAGCCTGCAGACCTAGAACTACTACAGGTGAGCAAACAGCCTGCCTACAGGTTCAGCCCCCACCCAGGTGCCCCTGTGTGCATCTATACCTGCTTCTTCCCTGCCCACACTGCAATCTTTTAGTTTTGCTGGGAGCCCTGAGGCAACAGAAAATATTACAGAGAGGAACCTTGGATTTGCATCAGATGGGAATTCAGATCTTAATTCTGCTGCTTTCCAGCTTGAACAAAATAGACCCCCATTTTCTCCATCTGTATGGCTGCTTTGATACAAGTGGGAGATGATAATTAAATGAGATAGTACATGTGAAACGTAGTCCTACACCCAGTACTGATAGCATGAACAGCACTGTGAAAAGCTGGAAGGGCTGATTTCTACCTTTCACAGTATTTGAGGGAGCAAGCAGAGGGACAGAGTGGTGTGAGCTTTGAGAGGAGTGAGCATCTGATCTTGGGGAGCTGAGGCAAGTGGGAAATGCTGGATTTTGCTCCCAGGTGTCATGTGATATTCACCTGATCCTGTCCACATATGGGGTGGGGTACTGGAGTGAAGGGAGCTAGGCTGCCTTCTTCCTGTGGAGGACACTCAGGGAAGCAACCGCCAAAGCTTAGGAGTCTCCAGAGTGCATGGAGGGACAAAATGTTGTGTGTGCAGAATGCTCAGTGTGCTGTTCATGCACTGCCCTCCTACCAACCTGGTCTTTATGTCCCTGTGAGTGCTAAGAGATCCTTATACTTGGTAGGATGGGAGGATGGAGGAGGGTACACTAGGACTATCTTAGCTGAGTGGACTCTTGAATGTGAGAACTAGATGAAGAAAAGGGTTGGTGAAGGGTTGTTGTTAGTTTTATTTGTCCCAGGCCACGTCCATCTGGATATGTGCAGTCTGAGATACTCAGAAGGCTGGAGCCAGCTGACAGGGTGACACAGAGTCAGTGCCCACATGATGGGTGCTCTGCATGTGTCAAGCTCAATGTAGGTACTTGATATACATTCACTCATAGCCCTGACCACACCCATTCACCAACCAGATCAGGAAACTAAGGCAAAGAGAGGTCATGTAACATGCCTAGGGTCATGTGGCTGATAGGTAGCAAAGCTGGGATTTGTGACTTGGAGCGGCAGCTTCAAGCTGTGTTCTTCTGCTGTCCGGAGGGGCCCATTAGGAAGCAGAGACTAATCCTCAGGTGTGCTTCATCATGGGAGGAAGAGAAGGGAGCCCAGGGATGTTGAAAGTCACCCTGAGCAGATGAAAAAATGTAGGAGGCCTGACTTAGGAGTGGGTAGGGAACAAGGTCCACAGGAAGCCAAAGATTGGTGCAGAGCCTCATCTTTGATCCCCACAAGAGAAAGTATGCTGGCATGTGGCTAGGGTCCATGGTCACGTGACAGGTACTGGGGGAAGAAATGACCAGCCTTACCAGTTGTCTATAAACCAAAGGAGGTTTTATCTTTTTCTTTATTTTTGAGTCAAGGTCTCATTATGCAGCCAAAGCTAGTCTTGAGTGTTCTCCATCCCCCTGCCTCAGCCACTGACTGCCAGGGTTACTAGCCTCACACCTAGCCTTTTAATATTTTTCTTTTTCCAAAGCAAATTTAACTGTGATTGAAAGCCAGTCAGTAACATGATGACTAAATGCAGTGTAGGATCCAGAAACAGAGAAAAGATGTTAGCAGAAAAAGTGATAAAACATGAACACGCAGTTTAGTCAATGCCGGTGTTGATGCCTTAGTTTGGATCAATGTCTAACCTGGTGAAGACACATGGGGCCTTGCTGCCATCACTGCAGCTCTGCAATACACCTGAAAAATTGTCCCAAAACAAGTTTATCAAAAGAAAAAACGAAGTCAGTCAATGAGAATAATGAGGCAAAAACTCAAAATCAGATATATGGGGCAGCAGAAATCACGACTTGTTTATGTACCCCCAGCCCCATTCTCAGGCCTGTCTTCGTCGTCACCTCTTTTGTTCTTCCCTTTGGTGAGCATTTTTGTGCATGATGTGTGTAAGAGCAAGGACGTGTGAATACCGTGGCATGCATATAGAAGTCGGGGAACAGCTGCAGAGAGTTGGTCCTCTCTTCCACTCTGTCTAAGACTGTCCCTCTTGTTTGTGCTGCTTCACCACATGTGCCAGACTAGCTGGTCCAGGAGTCTGAAGTTTGTTTGGTTTTTGTTGTTGTTTCGGTTTTCGAGACAAGGTTTTTCTGTGTAACAGCCCTGGCTGTCCTGGAACTGACTTTGTAGACCAGGCTGGCCTCGAACTCACAGAGATCTGCCTGCCTCTGCCTCCCAAGTGCTGGGATAAAAGGTGTGCGCCACCACGCCCAGAAAGTCTGAAGCTTTTTTTTAAGGAAGCAAACATGTTGGCAGAAACGTGACTCTTCAGTCTGCGTGCACTCTCATTAAACTGGCAGAATCATTAACATGGTGAGTTCCTGTACTTTAAATGTTAGTGTGAAACCTCCAGAAGCTATGAATCACTTGAGGCCAGGAGCTCCAGACCAGCCTAGGCAACATAGTAAGACCCCATCTCACAATTAAAGAATGTAGTTACTCTGTAACACCCTCAGAAGTGATCTTGAAAACAGGTTTGTAGAACCCCAAAAGCTGTTCTGTGGTGCCTTGAAGACCTTCCTCCAGGACAGGCCCAGACTGAAATACCATCCATGAGGGAGAGCCTTGTCCTGTCATGTGGCCTCAATGTCCCACTTCTCCCTGCAGGAACTGAACCGCACCTGCCGTGCCATGCAGCAGCGGGTCCTGGAGCTCATCCCACGCATCTCCAATGAGCAGCTGACCGAGGAGCTTCTCATGGTCAATGACAACCTCAACAATGTGTTTCTGCGCCATGAACGGTAGTCCTACCCCACCCTGAGCCTGGCCTTGGCTTGTCCACAGTCATTTTCCCTGTTCAGGTACCAGCAGGCTACCAGGGGCATGTGCCTCCAGCTCCCTGCCCATCACTGAGACACCTGGGTAGTAAGGAGTCATGAAAGCAGGCAGCAAAGCTCTCTGCTTGCCTGGAAACAGGGTTTATTATCTCTCCGCCTCCCACTCTGTGGGCCTCTTTTCTGTCTTTCCCCACTTGCCCTGTGGTTTGCAATCAGTTGAGAGGGGCCTGGGCCCCGGAGACCAACAACTGGTCAGCTTCTCCTGTTCATTAGTCCAGTAGAATGTAGGACCTCCTCCTTGCCATCTTGTGTGGTAGACCCCCAATACCCTATCATTAAGCCCCTAATTCACCAGTTTGTTCCAGTGCCAGCCGCTGCTACTCCGTTTCTCAACTAAGTCATCACCTGAGCTGGCAGGCAGGTGCCCAGAGACATTAGACCAGAAGATGAATTCAGAAGTGATATCCTTTACACCTGGCCACAACTCCAACAGGGTACACACTAAGGTCTTCTCCATCCATCTCCTCAGCCCCTTGGTAGTCAGGGTTAGAGACAAGTGGCCACCTTGGAGAGCTACCCGCACATTTCCCAAGTGTAGAGTAGGTGGATAACCGAGACAGTTGACAAAGCAGCACTCCCCTCTGCTTGTTGAGTGTCCCTTTCTTTTCTCTGTGTTCTTGTCAGTTGTTTCTTGCTGATGCTTACAGGGTGGCCCTGTAACTGATCATACCCAACCGTATCCAGTTGTTCAAGTGAAAGAAGGGCTCTGCTAGAGGTGAATAGGCACAGCAAGGATGCACTGGATCTGTTAGGGAGGACGAGTGTACCTCATCACCCTGGTAGCAACCTGTGATTTCAAAACCTCCTAGGGGTTTTCTGGGGACTGTGTCAATTTGACCTTTTGACTGGGGTCTTTTGTGTCATGTAGGTTTGAACGGTTCCGAACAGGCCAGACTGCCAAGGTAAGAGGCATGTCTTCTAGGTCATGCTATATTGATAGGAAATGAGAGGGAAGTTCTCACCCTCTCCCTGAAGCCCTGCACAGGGAACTGGTGCTTTTTAGGCTCATAGAGAAGTTTCTTCTGACTTCTTATACCACTGTCCCTTTAAGGGAAATAAGGCTCTGCCACCACCAGCTGGTACCTCAGGGCCTTCTCAGCCTCCCAGGGGTATAGCCAAGCTGGAGCCCAAGTGGAGGGGGAGAATCTCCCCAGCTCCCATTCAGAGATGCTGGGGCCTGGAGGCAGAATCACTGCATCCAGAAAGGATCATCCAGGCATCTCCCTTCATCTCAGGCCTCCAGTGAAGCTGAGCCAGCCGCTGACCTGATTGACATGGGTCCTGACCCTGCAGCCACCAGCAACCTCCCATCCCAACTGGCAGGAATGAGTAAGTATGCTGGGGGCTCCAGCCAAGGGTATGTTACAATGCATGTGTAGCCTCAAAGTTCTGAGGGTGCCTTCCTATACTCCCCAGCAGTAGTTCATTGGTCCAGGTCTCTCTTTGCTGGGCTCCCAAGCCAAATCTTGCTGCAGGGTTGGGCACTTGAGAAAAAACTTGTGAGAATGCCCTGGGAGCACCAATGCTTCTGAACCCCTTGGATCTAATAAATCCCACTGTGCTCTGACGATACCTCTGCACTGATATCCTCCCCAGCCCCCCACCTGAACAACCTGAGGGCATCAGGACAGTCTGCTGCTCAGCCTCTGGAATTAGTTCCTCCTTGAAGAGTGGGAGGGAGAACAAGAGACTGCCAGAAACAAGCTTCCATCAGGGCTGAGCCAGAAGGCACTCTGTGTTTTGATGGTACTTGGGGATAAAATCCAGGGCCTTGCACATGCTAGACAAGTATTCTGCCTCTGAGCTATACTCCCAGCTCGTTTATCGATTTCTTTTGGTGTTTTGTTTTGAGAAGAGTAGATAGTTTAGGTTTTATTTGATTTTGGTGGCTTTTGATCATTTGTTTGCTTGTTTTTCAAAACAGGGTTTCTCTATGTAGCTTTGTCTGTCCTAGAACTCGCTCTGTAGACCAGGCTGGCCTCAAACTCACAGAGATCCACCTGCCTCTGCCTCCTAAGTGCTGGGATTAAAGATGTGCCACCACCGCCCAGTTTGACCCAGGTTGTTGCTAAATGCTTAGTGGCCCATCTAGGTTAGCCTTGAACTTTCTCCATCTTCCTGCCTCAGTCCCCTGAATGCTGAGATTACAGGTGAGTGCACCTCCCTGTACTCTTGATAAATGTGAGCAGTTATCTCCCTGATCTTTTTGTTGTTATTTATTTCCTTTGGTGTTTTGTCTTGTTTTGTGCAGTGCTGGGGATTAAGCCTAAGGCCTGAAGTATGCTAAGCAAATACTCTACCACTGAACTGTATTCCAACCCTTTAATTTTGAGACAGAGCCTCACAAGGTTCCTCAAACTGTCCTTGAATATGCTTCATTGTAACCCAGGCTAGCCTCAGTTTCTCCTGGGGCTGGGATTACAGACCTGCACCACCAGGCCTGCTTGAGATTATAATGTTACTTGAGGGTGTAATGCTGTTGACTGCCTGCTCCAAGCCAAGCCCCACTTTGAATAACTGATACTACACTTGTGAAAAGTCGGATCTCATCACTGTCATGCTGACCAGCCTCTTCCACTAGTGCAGTGGTGATCCCCAACCAGAGAATTATTTCATTGCTACTTTATAATTGTGATTTTGCTACAGTTATGAATCATAATATAAATATTTGATATGCGACCCCTGTGAAAGTATTCAACCCCCAGAGGGGTCACAACCCACAGGTTGAGAACTGCTGTCCTATGTCACAGGCAGCGGTTTTTCCTGTTCTCTAATCCTCACCACAGCCAGGAGAAGGTGATTGTACAACCACCTTAGAAATGAGTACACTCAACAGAAAAGAAGTCCAACTCCCACCACCTAACCCCTAATACTCTTCCAACAGATAGCCCTAGACCCAGATGGGACATGGAAAGAGCAGGTGGATATCTCACCTGGCCTTTCTTTCTCTGCAGACCTTGGCTCCAACAGTGTGAGAGCTGGCCTGCAGTCTCTGGAGACCTCGGGTCGCCTGGAAGATGACTTTGACATGTTTGCTCTGACTCGGGGCAGCTCGCTGGCCGACCAACGGAAAGGGTAAGTTTCCTGTTCCATCTTGCTCTCCTGCAAATGGGGGGTTCAGGATCCCTGAATCTGGATTGGAAGTGGGCAGGCAGGAGAAAAGACACACAGTCCCTAAGTTCAGTCCAGCATGGCCTGGCGAGCACTGTGATCCATAGACAGAAAGGGATGAGCAGGAAAAGGATGCCAGCATCTGACCAGAACCAGAACCAAGGCTGGCCATAAGCCATGGGACAAGTGGCTAGCATTTGGCAGCACCAGTTTGGGAACCTTTGGCCATTTGTCCAAAACATTGTGTCTGGCTGGCCCACCATCTTATGTAATATGCAGCCAGTCCCAAGTCCCCAGGGGCAAGGAAGGCCCCTAGCAAAGCCTTAGGGGCTTCCAGGTCTTGACTGTCCCATAGCCACCCCTATCCCCAGAGGAGACTCTGGCTCCATTGGTGTATGTCTTTTGGTATGAGCTATCCATTTTCAGAGAGGTACTGTCATCAGTCAGAGCCTATAATGGAGCTACTTTCCAAATGCCACTCCCTGCCTTGGCTGACCTCATGCTGGCTCCACATGTGCATGTCAAAGGAAATAGTTTAGCTACTATTTTCTTATCCCTTTGCTTATGACCCCTTGGCTGAGCTGTAGGCATCTATGGTTCTTACAACCAAGAAAAGTTCTAGATTAAAGAAGCCTTCTAAGTACTCCCCCATGACTCCTTAGTGACCATTCCGTCTTTGGAGGTACTGGCCAGAGGGAATTCCCTGTGCACACTGCAGATCCAGGTGAAATCTGACAGTCTGCAGCCAGCAGATCCATACTGAGGTGTGAACCAGGTTTGCCTTTACCCTAAGCAGTCTGGACTCCCAAGCCCAGAGACTCTGGGACTAGCAGCTTACAATCGCCATGGAGTTAAGGATGCTGCTGAAGCTGCTATGCAGATGAAAGCTAATGAGTCTAATGGGACCTACACTCAGGAGTGTGGCCTGTCCACATAGGCCCCAGGGTACAAAACAACTGGGCACACTGGAGAGTACCTCGTGTTGAACCGGTCTGCCAGCATGGCTGGGATGCGCTCTTGCACCATCATCCCTCCATGGGGAAGGCACACATGCAGCCTGCCCTTCCGGGCAGCAGTCTTCATGTAGTGGTGTACATGGCCATTGTTGTGTGATACAGTGCTTGACTGGCGGGGCAGGTAGCTCTTCAGAGGGCTCAAGGCCAGACGGGTTTAGGGACCATTTCAGGTTCTAGGAACAGCATGTGCAGATGCTTGGAGGTAAGGTGAAAGGGCTGAGCTCTGGCCCTTCACTGGGCACAGGTCTGAGAAAGGGAGCAGACACTGAGAGGATTACACAAAAGTTCTTCCTCATGTTGGCAATAGGGGGCAACAGGGGCAGGGGAAGCGTTTCCTAGCAGATTTGTGCCTCTGAAGCTCCCTTTGGCTGGCATAGCCATTCCACGCCCTCTTAGGCCTTTGTCTTGCCTGTCCCCCTCACTACACTTGCAACCACCTCCTCGCTACAGAATGCACCTACAGAGACAGGACTGGGCCCTAGCTATGAAGTCCTTGTTCCTTTGTTCTCTTGCCTGGCTATGATAGATCCTCCCATGTAGTCACCTGGATAACCTTTTCTGCCCAGATAGTTTTCTTACCCTCCCAGCCTTCCTCCCACTCCAGGGTGACCTCTTACTCCCTGTACTTCAGTCACACCACATACTCCTTCCCTGTCTTCATCTTCCAGTAGCCAGGTGACAGTCCCACCCCTCTCAGCCCTAGCCTTCCACCTGCCTGGCTGCCTGGCCTCCCTTTGGGGATGTGTAGAAGAGCTGTAACCAATCCATCAGAGAGGTTGGGAGCCTTCCTGATGGTAAGCCAACGTCAGATGGGCCTCAGCAGCTTACATACTCATTTTGGCAGTAGAAGGGACTCTTACATTCAAATGCACCCTCAAACAGAACCACAATTTATGAAATTCAGATGGGAACTGCTCAAAAAGGAACCTATGCAAATTCTCCATGGGCATAGGGTCACAATCTATTTCCTAGTCCCTCAACTCGGCCCAGAGTGGTCACAGCCATGTGTGATCTTGTTCCTGGTCTTTGGTCAAGTGCTGTTCCTAGATTCTCATGCATGATTGATGCAAATCATTATGGGGCACATATCTGAGCATAATCCTCAGTAGCAGAAAATGGAGCCACTTCTTCCTGTCCCGGGCTTGGAGAGAAGGAGCCTCGGGTTAGGCCATCCTATGACCTGAGCCACTCCTGCCCAGGCCAGCCCAAGTCTAGCTTACCTGGTCCCCTTAATCCTCACGTTGCCTTTCAGGCCTGGTGTGGTCAGGCAGCATCTGATGCCTTGCTGCTTTGTATTTCAGGGTCAAATATGAAGCCCCCCAAACCACAGATGGCCTGGCTGGGGCCCTGGATGCCCGGCAGCAGAACACCGGAGCGGTAAGCATAGAGGTCCTGTTTTACCCAGAGTCTGCCAAAAAGAAGGGACTCTGGGCCCACTATGAACTCAGCATTGGCTTGGCACAACCCTTTCCCATCTGACTCTCAGTTGGCCCTTTGTGGCTAATGTCATTATTCCCAATTGAGAGCCAAGGAGGCACTTACCCAGCAAGGATTCAGACCCAATCCTGCCTCAGGAGCTGGTGTCCAATGTGGTCCTGGGTTCACATCCTACTTCATCAACTGCCAGCTTTGGGTCATCAAGCAAATTAACCCACTGGCCCTGTTTCATCTTCTTTACCTGGAACTTTTAACAGCAATAGTAGTTGAGAGAAGCCTGTGAGAGAACAGCACTGTCACTAATAGCAGCATGGGCAGAGGGATTAAAATGGAGACCCTAGAACAATTGTCAGAATTCCCAGGCACTCTGTCTGTTTGTTGTTTGAGATGGGGTTTCTCTGTGTAGCCTTGGTTGTCCTAGAACTCACTCTGTAGACCAGGCTGGCCTCAACCGCACAGAGATCCGCCTGCCTCTGCCTCCCGAGTGCTGGGATTAAAGGTGTGCACCACCACTTCCCAGGCTCCCAGGCACTCTTTTAAGTCCAATTAATTCCTTGACTATGTGTTGAGGCCCAGATTGAGCATTCTGTGGCCACCTTCCTCAATGGTAAGATCTTCAAGTATAATCTATAGTGAGCCAAGTCACTGGGAGTGTGGGGGAGCTAGAAACAGCACACCCCACTTAGGAGATAGAGGAGAGCAAGGAGGTCACAGAGGAGGAGTGTGGCAGATGGACGCTGAGGCCAAGTGGGCCTGAGAAGTGGAAGGAGAGGTCTAAGTGGTGGCTAGGACCATGGGCATTATCTTAGGTGAGGTAAAAGCCATTTGAAAGCCTTGGACACAGGAGAAGGAAAACAGAGTTCCATTAGGAGATCCTCCTCAAATGGGGCAGGATCTGGTGATTCCCAGGAACTCTCCATCTGCATTCATGTGCCTCCTATCTCCTTGCTTGGGGTCCATTTCAAGTCAGAGCACAACAGGCACAAAACACTGGGGCATGCTGGGCAGTGGTGGCGCACGCCTTTAATCCCAGCACTCGCGAGGCAGAGGCAGGCGGACCTCTGTGAGTTCAAGGCCAGCCTGGTCTACAGAGCGAGATCCAGGTCAGGCACCAAAACAACACTCCCTGACTCGGGGAGAAAAAAAAACCACTGGGGCAGGCTTCATGGAGTACGAGGGCCTCCATTGGGTATGACAGAGCACATCTGCACTGGGCCTTAGTGCCTCTGCATGCTTTTGAACCATCACTGTTGAGCCTGTGCTCTGTTTTGGCCCTATGCTAAACCCTCATGTTCCCCTCGTGGGAGTCACTGCACAGTCCACTCTTGCTGCCACCCAGAGATGGAGGCATCTTCCCAGGAGAAATACGTCGCCAAAAGCATAACCAGTGTTGTGTTTCCAGGCTCCACAGCTGCAGCCACAGTGGGAAACAAGCACAGCTCCACTCACTGACAAGCATGAACATTCTTACTCTCTCTCCCCTTTACTTGGGCCAGCCATCTGTTGGATGCAATTTTTGAGGACCAAGCCAGCACCCACTCTCAAGGACTTAAGTCTGACTAGAGGCAAGGCACATAATTCACTGACTACCTGGATGTGACTGCAAGATCAAAGTTCAAACTGGACCTGGTAGGCAGTGCCTTTGTCCAAGACTCAGCAGAACTGACAACTTGTGTGATGTACATTGTTGCACCAAGGGCCAGATTCTCTCCTTCACTCCCTGGGGTGCAGCAGTGGGCTGGGCCTACTCTGTCTGTGTAGAGTGGACAGGGAGGTCAGTGCATAATGGCCTGGAGCCCCTCCACCACCCACCTGCTCTGGGGCCTAGAAAGCTTTCTCTTTGCTGTTGGTAACTATGAAGCCGGCGGACAAAGCAACTTTTCTGTAACTTGGGTGCCTCTCAGAAGCCCTTGGCCAGTCACCAGTCTGGCTGATAGCTTCTATTCTTCAGCTTTGAGTATGCAGGCCACCCTTTGGGATTCCATGGGAATGGCAAGGAGTTCATTGTTGTTTTTGTTTTTAAGATTTATCTATTTATTATGCATATAATGTTCTGTCTGCATGTATCCCTGGAGGCCAGAAGAGGGTACCAGATCTCATTATAGATGGCTGTGAGCCACCATGTGGTTGCTGGGAATTGAACTCAGGACCCCTGGAAAAGAACTTAACCACACTGAACCATCTCTCCAGCTCTCTTTGTTGTTTTTGGGTTTGTTTTTTTTTTTGTTTTTTTTTTTTTTGCTCTTCACATTATCCCAGTCTAGAAGCTCTGGGCTCCTACCACCATGGTTCTCCCGTAGTGAGGCACCCTGGGTAGCTTCCTTTATCCCCTTGGCTCTGCTGCCATACCTGTGTATGCACACACATACACACACTGTCACATATGTGCACATGAACATCTAGGTGGAAGCGGCTGCCAGCCCACCACTGGCCCTGAACTCAACCCTACTGCCTACCACCCTGGTGAGGCTCTTTGCCTGAAATGAGAGAGTAGTAGTGTAAAGAACCTAATGATCGATGGTCAGACAAAGCATGTGAGCAAGGACCAGGCCACAGAATTGGTACTAGGGAACATGACCCTGGGCACTCCTTCCTCCAGCAGTCAAGGGACAGCAGTTAGCTGAACAGGCCTGGCCTGCCAAGAGCACCTGCTGCTGGAAGGCTATCCCCCGCCTCTTCCCTGTACTAAGTGATAAGCTTGGGCCCTAAACTGGTTTGGTCAGAAACTATAGCTCTCCTCTGTCCAAAAGCTGCCAAACAGGAACTTAGAGTTCCCAGCCCTCCTCTGTACAGGCTCTCTGCTGAACTTGCCTCCTCCTAACAGCACTCTGGATGGCGGTTGTATTGTCCGGTGAGGAAGACAAATATAAGAACATTATGCAAGATGCCAGGAGTCACTCCAAAGACCATAGCAGACCATATGTGTGCTCCTGACCTCCAACCAGATTGCCACTGCGGAAACTGTTAACAGAAAAAGACCCCAACCCCTGTTCCTTTTAGGAGCCATCATGTGAGAGCCCATGTGTTTGGGCCTAGAGTCAAATGTTCCCATCTAGAAAGCTGCCCCTGAGACCACCAGCCTGCCCTTTCTGGAACACTCAGACCCTCCTTCCTCTTGGATCCTACTGTTTCTGCTTCTGCCATTAACTGAATCTACCAAGGTGCTGGAGACAGAGCCTCTCTGGCATTGCTCTGAGCACAGGTGGCCAGGGTTCTCCTTGTCCTGGACTGTGGCATGAAACTTCCCTCAGCTGGAACACCTCCCCACACTTCCCGTTGTCGGGACCAGATGTCCATTCTTTCCATGTGGGGAATGGCTCCTGTTTGCCCCTTGCCTACTCCAGCTGCTAGGAGCACAGTCCCTGCTTATTCTTCTGGATCTGTGTTCCTTCACCTACAGCCCGGCACCACTGCAGAGTGGTCCTAGGCAGCTGGAACAGGTAATCCCAGGATGTGTACCCCAGCCGGAGCCAGAGGAAACTCAGGTCAGGGTGGGTGAGTGAATCTCAAGGACCATTCAGCTTCCTTCACGGCAACCAGACCACTGCCCTTCCCTGCCTCACTGCTACCTTCCTTCCAGATCCCTGCCACCCAGGCCCGCATCATGGAGGACATTGAGCAGTGGCTGTCCACAGATGTGGTAAGTTGGGACTCACTCTTTGCCTAACAAGGAGGGATCCATTTGTCTTGTAGAGGGGCCTGGTGTATAACTGGTGAAGAGAGATAAGTATTAATGTCCTCATCTGGTTCCCCAGTGTCCTCCTCCAGGCAATAGCCTCCCTGTCCCAGATCACACCTCCAGTGTGAGGTCCCTACACGTGTCAGCCATCATTCGGGAGATGGCATTGGTTATAGACCAAGAGGAGTACTAAACCGTGTCCCCACAATAGCCCCTGGAGACCTAAAGCCATTCAGAGGGAGGCATCATTATCACCCCATTTCATATCAAAAAGGCTGGGCTGGAGAGATGGGTCAGTGGATAAGAGCACTGGCTGTTCTTCCAGAGGTCCTGAGTTCAATTCCCAGCAACCACATGGTGGCTCACAACCATCTGTAATGAGATCTGGCGCCCTCTTCTGGCATGCAGGCAGAACACTGTATTCATAATAAAATCTTTAAAAAAAAAAAAAAAGGCTGATAACTTCAAGGGACCCAGCTCCTGTCCACCACCTTTCTAAAGGGGCATGACCAGAAGGCAGAAGTCCTGAGCTTGGCATCAGGGCTTCTCCCCAGCTTCTGCCACCACCTCTGTGGACATTAAAGACCCAGTGACAGCTTGAGCACTTCCCTTCCAAAGGCTGCCATCCATAAGCAGCAAGACTTTGTTTTTACCCAAATTAGGCCAAGGACTAGGCAGGACTCAGGCCCTACTAACTAGGGCAGAAGCCTCATTCCATCCCCATGCCCCACGTGTTCAGGTGGTTAATGGGTTACAGCTTAGCTCCAGCCATACTTGAGCACAGCTTTAGCTCAAACAGTGCCAGTGGGTGTCAGCCTTCCATCCATGGAGCTAGACAGTCCTGTCTCTAGATCCTGGAGGAAAGGAATGTGCTGCTGGGCACCACACCTGGGCTTGATATTCTGTGCTTAGCTTCCAACAGCTACCAGCTTAGCCTCTGCTGCAGTTCCTTTCTTTCCTTCTTTCCTTCCTTCCTTCTTTTTCCTTCCTTCCTTTGTTTTTTTTTTTTTTTTGTTTTGATTTTGTTGTTTTGTTCTTGAGACAGGGTCTCTATGTAGTACTGGCTGACCTGAAACTCGCTCTGTAGACCAGGCTGGCCTTGAACTTACAGAGATCCTTCTGCCTCTGCCTCCTGAGTACTGGGATTAAAGGCATGTGCCACCATGCCCAGCCATCCTTCCTGTTTCTTTAAAAAGATTTAATTTTTTAAGATTTATTAATTTTTGCATGTATGAATGTTTTACCTGCATGTCTGTATGTGCATCACATGCATACCTGGTACTTGAACAGGTCAAAAGAGGGCATCAGATCCCTTGGAAGTAGAGTTACAATTGGTCATGAACTGCCATATGAGTACTGGCAACAAAACCCAGGTCCTCTGCAATAGCAAAAAGTACTCTTAAACACTGAACTATCTCTCCAGCCCTTAATTTTATGTTTTAATTGTGTGTGTGTGTGTGTGTGTGTGTGTGTGTGTGTATGTGTTCATGTGAGTGCAGTGCCCAGAGAGGCCAAAAGAGGGCATTTGGTTCCCTTGAACCTGGTGTTAAAGGCTGTTATGAGTTGCCTGATAGATGTGCTTGGAACTGAACTCTGGTCCTCTGTGGGAATAGGATGAGCTCTTAACTACTAAGCCATCTCTTCAGCTCCAGCCTCCTTGTTTAAAGGAGAAAAAAGTCATGACTCAGAGAAACCGGAACACCTGGAGCCTGAAGCTCAGGAAGGAGTGAACCAAGGCCTGTGTCCTGACACTAGGGTCAGCTTAAGCACAACCCCAGCACTGGTCCTGGTCAAGGGCCTGTCTTTGCCCACTGAGTGGGCAGGCTGTACAGCTCCCAGCAGTACTAACCTCTATCTCTTTCCCTCTGCATTCTCAGGGCAACAGTGCTGAGGAGCCCTCTGGTGTCACCAGTGAAGGTAACAGACCACCCCTTCTACCTACTCCTTCCCTGGAAGTGATAGTCCTGTCCCTGTCCCTGTCCCTCCCCAGCTCTAGCCTACAAGACTACTCTTTCCCATTAGAATTTGACAAATTCCTGGAAGAACGGGCCAAAGCTGCCGATCGACTACCCAACCTGGCCAGCCCTTCAGCCGAGGGACCCCCGGGACCTTCTCCTAGCACAGCTCCTCGGAGGAAGACCCAGGAGAAGGATGATGACATGCTGTTTGCCTTATGAATGCAGGGTCTGGCACCCTGCAGCCCAGGGCCTAGCACTCTCATACCCACTGGGGCCCCTCCCTCTCTTGGTGTTAAGGCTGCTTGGGGGTGGTGTGTTAACCCCTTCTCTCCTCCTGGAGCCTGGGTGGCAGTAGGATGAACTGGGGGAACGGGTCAGCCCTCTACTGGGATCCTGACTGGTCCTGCCTCCTCCAGACAAGCTGACCTGCCTGATGTGACCTGATTGACCTGGTGTGAGACTGCTTCCATGAAATTCCCCTGGTTCCTTCCCCAGGGAAGCCCATGGGAGCCCTCCAGAATCCACACTACCAGTCTAGGTATAGAGGAGACATTACCACAGCTTTGCCCATCCCTGCCCCTGCAGAGCGGGGCCTGAAGAAGGCTTTGGCTGGCTGTTGGGGTGGGCTATGGTGGCCCCTGCTGAGCTGCCCACTGTCCAGGTACGAAGTTGCACCCAGTGAGGCAAGACCTCACCAGTCCAGGTGTCAAGCAAGATGAGACCTCGGGGATTCTGGGTACGCAAAGCCCCCCAGTTCCTCCACTGCCTTTTCCCCCATCCGTGCTCTGTTCCTCCAGCAGGACTCCACCCAACTGAGGCTCACCTGTTGGTTGGTCCTCAGGTACAGGAAGAGATGCCTTTTGTGTCCTCAAATAAAAGTAGAAAGCCATCTGCCAGCGTGATCTGCTTCTAGCAGGAGGCATTTTGACCTCATGGTGGGCAGGGCCTGCTTTAAGCTAGAGGCCATCTAAGAGGTGGGCATCCACACTCACAGCACAGCAGGGTGGTGCACACAGCCATACTCACAGATAAAACTCCTGTTTCACCACACAAATCCAGCCTCCATCTGTTCTGCATAGGACAGCCATCTGCCTCTTTGGGTTCCTTCACAAGTGACTACCCCCATGCTCTGCCCATCCTACAACAGTGGCATGTTGCTCAAGAGAGGGAGCCAAGTATTGGTGGACAGTGTTGGCATGTTGGGGCAGCAGGCCACAGGGAGAATGCTGGTGCCAGCCATGACCCAGGTGCTCTGCACTGTCTGCACTGCATGCTGGTGACTAGAACTCATGGCCACCTTGGCACACAACACTGGGCACTGGGCTGTGCACATCAGGTGTAGGCACCCAGACCTTGCCTGGTTCTACACAGCCCTCAAGAGGACAGAGGCTAACAGTGGTCAGCACACATGGTCTGGTACCTGTTCTCTGAGACCTGGCTCAGCCCTCTAGGGACAGTTGGGTAAAGGAACCAGATTAGGGATAGCCTGCATGGGCCCTGGCTGTTCCATCTTTAAGCAGGGGAAGGGCCGAGTGCACGTCCAGGCCAAGCCCATCTACCCCTGGCCTGGTCCCACAGCATCCATGGTACAGGTAGATAAGAAGGGCCTTGTTTGATTAATTAACAAGTCATGGAGGAGAGAGACCCCAGCCCACTCCTCTGCCTGCTTCCTTCATTCTCTCCATGTCTGAACCCTTTAGGGAAACTGACTTTGTGATGATCAAAGCCAAGGCTGCTGCTTTCCTGTGTAAGCTAGAAAGCCCCAGGAAGTTTCCACAGACCACTCCAGAAGCCCAGGGCCCTACCAATAACTACAGCTACCTACCATCTTGTCTATTACCAGGGTTTGATATTGTCTGAGTGATAGTTGTAGGGCAGACATGGTATTCAGTGCAGGGGATACATATAGGGATGTGACAAATGTTCCTGCCTGGGGACTTGTAGAAGGGAAGGGGCAATAAGATTAGATCTGAGATAAAAAGGGCCACTGCACTAAGTGGGAATCAAGGATTAACCAATCAATCCCCAGATTTCCACCAAGACAGGGCAAGGCTGCAGGGGCTCTCTCTGGAGACCACACAGACAGCAGAGGAGAGGGGATGCTGGCAGGAAACCAGGTACTGCCTGCAGACCTCAGGTCAGTTGGCAGCAACATGGCTTGGAGCACTGCTGTTCTCCTTCCTCAGCACAGCCTGCAGTGTTGCTGCCCAGCTCCAGGCATGTGTCCGTTCGGGACAACTGCTGGAGACCTAGAGGGCAGCACCAGTCTCTCCTCCTGCCTTGGATGCCCCTTGCCAAGATCCCAGCAATAGGAGTGAAGCGGGGGCTGACCACAGGGCCTGGTGCTAGCCCTGCTACCGAAGCCAGCACTTCATGAAGCCCCTGACCCCTCCATGATAGCTGGAAGGCTGTCCTGCTCTGACGTGTGTGGGCCTGGCTTCAGGATCAGAGTCCCATTGTGACCACAAGATGGCAGCAGTGCTGCATGCACAGGAGTTCTTGCTCCTGTCCCTGCTTGAACACACACACACACACACACACACACACACACACACACACACACACACACACACACACACGCATGCATGTGCTTGTACACACATACCTCCCCACACCTACCCTTGCTTCTCTGACTGGTGAAATAGGGAGATGGAGTCTGAAGAATCTGAAGTTCCTCCTTCAAAACTCAGTTAAGGACTTGATTCCCAGAAGCTTCAGCTCTGACACTGCCTGACTCCTGAGCTGTAGGGAAAACACACCAGAGCCAGCAGCAGGCTGTGAGGCTGTGGCTAGGTAGAGCCCATCTCCTGATGCTCCTGGTAAAACCTGGTGTGCAGACTAATTTTTGTACATGTACTAGTTCATGTACAGCTGCAGCTATTTGTACATGCCAGAAGTCAGGAGTGGCACCAGGTACAGCCTAGCACCATTCTCAGAGCCCAGCTTCTCATGCTGTTCCCTTCTCCAGTAAAGAGAAGCAGCCTCACTGCACATTTTATTTTTCTTCCTTCCTTCCTTCCTTCCTTCCTTCCTTCCTTCCTTCCTTCCTTCCTTCCTTTGGTTTATTTTTTTTTCTTGTTTTTTCAAGAAAGGGTTTCTCTGTGTAAGCCCTAGCTGTCCTGGAATTCACTCTGTAGACCAGGCTGGCCTAGACCTCAGAGATCCACCTGCCTCTGCCTCCCAAGTGCTGGGATTAAAGATGTGCACCACTACTGCCCGGTTTATTTTCATTTTTTGAGCAAGCAAACTTCCTAACCTCCCTCCTCAAATTCTGAGTGTTGTGGTCTCAGGCATCATCTCATGCCTGCCTTGGTCCACTCTGACTACTTCTTGCTTAGTTCCATCACCACCAATCTGTTGCTGTCCCTATCTGATATCTTCCAGGCCATCCTCTGCTGGACTCCATGGCCCTGTCCAAACACCACTCCTCTCAACTCAAGCTCCTGAGCTCCCTCTGAGCCGCTGCCGCCCCCTCACTACCATGGCAATCTTGTCACTTGTCTCACAGCTGTAGGACAGGAAGGGAAGAGGAGAGAGAAAGGGCAGGTTTCGCTGTAGGCAGATTGATGGAGTGACATCCACAACCTACTGTCTGGGCTAACTCCTCATCTGGGCAGTTCTGGGATTTGTCCCTGGAGGAGACCTCTCCACCTCCAGCATCAGAAAGCTCCACAGAGATCATTGGTCCATGCAGTTCCCTTGCATGGTTCCCCAGCAAAGGGCCACAGTTGGCTGAACAACAGACATTTGTTCTGGAAGTCCAAGATCCAGGTGTGGCAGAGATGTTCTCCTTGGTTTGAAGATGGCCATTTTTACTCTGTGTTGTCACAATGGCCCATGTATCTTCACCTTGATTTCCTCCTCTTAGACATCGTTATATTGGATTATCCCCCTATCTAATGACCACATTGAACTTTAATCACTTCTTCAGAGCTGCCTCTCCAAATACAGTCACACCTGAGAACTTTAACATATGCATTTGGAAGTACATATCCTTCCCATGGCTATCACACACAGATTCTTTTCACTGTATAGAGCAGTGGCATGTAATACCTGCCTCCATCCCTGCCCTCATGGAGATTTGCAGTGACTGATATAGATCATATTTGGTCCAGCCCCAGAGCCATGGGGACTCACCAAGAACCAGCCATGAGGCCAGAGCAGAGCTGGAATAGGAGACAGAAAGGACTCAGGTCTAGCGAGCCTGGCTAAGACTTCTACCTGCTCCCTAGGATGGCCTACCCATCCAAAAGCAGCACCTACCAGTCAGCAAGCAAGCTTCACTGCCACCCATCTGGATCCCCATCTTCCCCATTCCTTGCTTAGCCAGTCTGCACTCTGCCCCTGCCAAAGACCACCCTGCATTCCAATCCCCACAGCTGCATGCTGCAAAGGACTTGGGTTCAATTCCCAGCACCCACATGGTAGCACATAACTATCTCTAGCTCCAGTTCCAGGGAATCTGGAGCTTTCTTTGGGCCTCTGTGGGTACCAGACATGTACGTAGTACATGGACATATATGCAAGCAAAAACACTCAGACACATAAAATAAAAATAAATCTGGTTTTAAAAAAGGTTAACATACCAGAAAAAAAAAGCCAAGTGACAAAAACTGGAAGCACTTCCCCACTCGGGCTTCGTATAACGAGTGGAGCATACTCAAGCCGGTTTGCCGAGGAGACTTGAAGTCTTTTGGGATCATTGTTTTCCTGCTCTCCTGGAACTCGCTCTGTAGACCAGTCTGGCCTCAAACTCTGAGAGCCACCTGCCTCCGCCTGCCCAGTGCTGGGATTAAAGGTGTGTACCACCATGCCTGGCTGTTTGTCCTTTCTTAATAAATGGTGTCTGTTTATTTCTAACTATGTGTCCCTGGTGCAATCTTTAGTCGGGAGTGGGGGACACAAAAAATCAGGAGGCAGGCAACCTCTGAACTCAGATCTCTACGTATAACTCTATCTCAACCTGGCTTAGGGAAGAGACAACTCCCACCCAGGCTGTGAGCACCAGGGAGGCAGTGCAGGGCCAGAGCATGGGGACTCCCAGGCCTACCTTTTTCAAGCAAGTTGCCTTGTGGTTGGAGTCCTCCTGGGAGTCAACAAGTAGGCCCAGCTTCTGCCTCACACATCCATGTACAATACTTTTGGTTTGAGGCAAATCCTTTCTCCTTTCTGGGCTTCGGTTTCCCCATTAGTTAACCCACAGAAGTGTCCCCCTCTCTGCTATTCTGCCCAGTCTGCCTTCACACTTCACTACTCACTTCAGGAAAGAATGAAACAGGTGGAAGATCACACCTGTAACCCTCATGTTCAGAAGGTTAAAGCAAGGTGGCTGTTATGAGTTCAAGGCCAGCCTGGGTTACATTATTTCAGGCTAGCCTGTGCTACAGAAGGATACCTGTCTCAAAACAGAAGACTGGGGAGAACACAAGGCAAGAAGCCCAAGTCATCTGTGGAGATAGGAAAGCAGTGTTAGACTATGCTGCCCACCAGACCAAGAGAAGAAAATATCTATCAGCAGGCTTAATGGACATGCAGAGGGGAAGAGCCAGCAGGCCCCAAAAGAAAGTGAGACCAGCGGGGTGGTGGCACATGCCTTTAATCCCAGTACTCAGGAGACAGGGGCAGAAGAATCTCTGAGTGAGTTCCAGGACAGCCAAGGGCTACACAGAGAAACCCTGTCTCAAAAAGGGGGGAAGTGAAATTCAGACTAGGGTACATTTTTTTTTAAGATTTATTTATTATGTATACAGTATTCTGCCTGCATGCCAGAAGTGGGCGCCAGATCTTATTATCCCAGATGATTGTGAGCCACCATGTGGTTGCTGGGAATTGAACTCAGGACCTCTGGAAGAACAGCCAGTGCTCTTAATCGCTGAACCATCTCTCCAG